TTACAAACATAGCCCAGGCTATGAAGGAGGAGGAGGTTAGGGCTGGTAAAGAAAATAGGGTCAGATTTTGTGTTTTAGAAAAAAATCACTCTGGTAACAACTCGGGTGGCCGAGAGGAGAAGCAGAGGTGAGTGGCACGTGGGCAGGAGAGCAATGTTCCCTCCTGGGCTGGTGCAAGGGTACTGAGCTCGGCAGGGGTGGGCGGCCCAGAGCATGGAGCCTGCTCCCAGCTGCATCCCTCAGTAGGTGCTAACCTCCAGCAGTTGGACTCTCTGGTCCTCGCCTATAGGGTGTGCGTCGTAGCCGTACCTCGTAGGGTGGCTCTTCTCAGGATGGACTGTGGTGGGACCAACCAAGCTAATGTTTATAAAGCATTTTGGATACCGCTGGCTCTGCAAGGCTTATTAAGTGACGGGAAGGGTGCCGTAGCCCCGTAACTCGATGTCTCTGTGACTTTATGGTCCCTTAAACCTTAAGAGCTGAGTGGCCATCTAAAGCCTGAGGGAGAGCCCCCTTGGTGGTTGCAGTTTCCCCAATAACACATCACTCACCCCAAGTTCCCTGCCATAGGAGGACACTCAAGATTCTGAAATCTCTTGATGAATTTGGTTTTACCTAGTTCAAAAGCTGTCAAAATGTGTTAGAAACAGTTGAAGTAATAGTCAAAGGGACTTATTAATCATTGAAACACCCCCCCCCCCCCCCGTCCTCTTTTCTAAGGTACCACTTCGGAAACAAGAAACAGTTTCTTGTTCTGCTGTTCTGGTCAAGTCAGGGAGATGTAAGTGACTCACCCAAGGTCACACAGAGAGCTGATGGCAGATTTTTTTTTTAAAGATTTATTTATTTATTTATTCGTGAGAGAGAGGGTGGGGGTGGGGGCGGGACAGAGACAGAAGCAGGCTCCATGCAGGGAGCCCAACGCGGGACTTCTTCCCGGGACTCCGGGATCATGCCCTGGGCGGAAGGCAGGTGCTAAACTGCTGAGCCACCCAGGGATCCCCCCTGATGGCAGATTTGAGGCTGGAACTGCTTAATGGCCCCATCCCTCCCTATTAGATCAGAGGCTATCAATTTTGGCAGCTCTGAGACTCCCCTGTGGAGCTTAAAATAGATCAGTGATAGTGACTGATGGTGTGAGGGTGAAGCCCTGCATCAAACGGCGCTAGATTTATTCAGTCTTTAGTGACAAACTTTCTTTATGGAAAAACTCTTACACATTTGAGCTGTGAAAATTATTAATTGCATTTTTAAAATTAACTGTACCAGAGTTTCTAGCATAGCCATGCAAAGGTGTTCTCAAAAGCAGGGTGTTAATAAAAACAATTTCATTTTAAAAAAAAAAAAAAAGGCAGGGTGTTGCCCCTCTGGGCTCTGCTTCACTAGTCCCCCACCTCCCTCCCGCCCCCAGGTTTTCTCTTGACTGCTTAAAAATTGCCCAGATATTTTATCAGGGGGTTGTTGCAGTGCCTTCAGAATGCTTTGCCTCGTTGAAGGAAATGGTTGGATTGCTCGTCAGAAAAATGCCAGAGTTGCTTTTTAAAAAAATGTAGTAGCATCGCATTGCAGTGAGGCTCCTTATTTCACGGGGTTTGATCTTCTTTGATTCAAATCATGGTTCTGGAAACAAGATACGTTAGGTGTAACAGAATCTGTGCCCAGACACGGACGCAGCCGCACAATTGCTCCTATTCCATCCCTCACCGGCCCCTGCCACAGCTTCCTTAAAGGTGTTTGCTGGGTTTCCATTTAAATAAACTGCAGAAGGACTGGGTGTGCGGGTTTTATTCAGGCAGCCTTGGGGCCTTTGGGGAATTGGATGTTGTAAGCAAGAAATCCTTTTCTGTTGCCCCTTTTCCTAGTTGTGAGAATGTAATACGGCAACGCGTGCTTCACTAATGGGGCAAGTAACCAGAGCTAGTGGTGAGTTTAAAAACCACACTATCATTGCAAAGTAATGATGAGCATAAACGATCCTGCAGGCTGTGTGGAATGACAGTGCATCATTTCCATTTGTGAGCAAGTCAGAGGAACTGCTAATCCAACTGTGCTTGGTTGCCTTGCATTGATAATAATAGGAAATGCTAAATTTCAGAGGTTGGTGAAAATAGAGATTCCTAGATTCAGTGAATTTGATCCACAGATGCCCTAAATTAAGAACATTTTCCAAGGGGTTCAGTTTTATTCCTGGTTGATAACCACTTGTACCTACTTCTAATTCTTTGTGTGCGTGCGTGCGCGCGCGCGCTCTTGCATTCCTTATCTCACACTCCTCCTTCCCGCCACGAGTGCCCCAAGTCCCAGAATACTAGATAAACCGGCACGTCCTTTCATCGCCTTGTGCCCAGTCCTGTTACAGAGGCTAGCAACAGTGGCTTCTCAAAATGTCTTGAGGCCCACGTGGCAGGGAGCCCCGAGGGCAGGCTGTTCAGGGCCTGTGCAGCACCCCAAGCAAGACAGCAGGGGCCCGGGCTCCTTCAGACTTCCCGACCCACTACACTGATCTATAGCTCTCAGCCCTTTTTGCAAGAGATTCATTACCTAGCGACTCCCTGGGTATAAATCACCATTTGAACCTCGTGAAACACCCCCGTAAGGAGCCCTCACCCGCCATTTACTTAGTAGGCAACCGTGGCCCAGGGATGCCCCACTCCGGAGTGACCCACCCAGGGTCTAATGCCTGCACCGCCTCCCTGATCTGGGCCCACCAAGATCACTCCCATAATCGGCAGTGAAGACGCCACTAGAACTCAACTCTTCTACCTTTGAAGTTCTTGTTCTTTCTACTGTCCTCTGAGTTCGAGTGCTTTTAGCTGTTCATAAGTGCTTGTTACTGTCTGAATTTGAATGTCTTTTTAGCGTGTTATTCAACACCTGGCAGACATCCTTACTTTTACTCTGTCCTAATCCCCACAGCATAGCCTGAGTGATCATTTAAAAACATAAATTAAGTTTGTCACCCCCACCTCGGTCAATAGCTTTTTGTTACTCTTAGGCTAAAGCCAAGATCCTTCATGTGTCCTGGAAGGATGGGGTACTCTGGCTTCCACATCCCTGCACAGCCTCATCTCTCCCCCCCACCCCACCTTTCCTGCATCACCCCTCTATTCAGTCATGTGGTTTAGTCTCCAACACATCATGCACCTTTCTACCACAGGGCCTTGGCATCTGCTCTTTCTACTGCCTGGTGGTCTCTCTCTTCTCATTATCTTGTGAACTTTACCAAACAGCTACTAGGTTGCCTGCATGTCCCCAGGTAAACTCCTCCAAGTGCCCCTCTGCAAGCTGGCCTTCTAGCACCAAGAACCTCTCCTTGTAGCCCTGACCAGAATTGTGATCTTACGTTTGTTTGTGTGATTATTTCATCAGTCTGTGTCTTCTCCACTGGATTAAGGTCAGACCACATTGGGGATGCCTGGGTGGTTCAGCGGTTGACGTTTGCCTTCATCCCAGAGTCTTGGGACCAAGTCCTGCATCAGGCTCCCTGCATGGAGCCTGCTTCTCCCTCTGCCTGTGTCTCTGCCTCTCTGTGTGTCTCTCATGAATAAATAAATAAAATCCTAAAAAATCAGACCATATCTGTTATCTCTTCCAGCCAATTTTTTTATCCCCAGGATCTACTTTGCACCTGTCATATAGGGAATGCTCAGTATTTGTTCACTAAAAATCAACTTTTTTTCTCAGCACATGGCACAGAATTGAATAAAAGTGAAATTTAAAGGGCACAAATGGAGTAATGGCGTAGGTCACCATAACTATACAGTACTTTCCAGCATCATTCTAAGATAGAATAAAAGAATTTTATATAATGGCTTTTGCTAGCAAAGGATTCAGTATTTATTGCTGTGGGGTAGATAAGCCAATAGTCAGAGGTGGGTGTTCTATGCACCCTACCTGTTTACCTATGCATCTTACCTATGTAATTAATGCAATTAATAAGCTCACAAGAGCTTAATGTGTATTTCAAACTTAGTTCTTAAAAACATTGATTTGAAACAGTCTAGAAATAATTCAGAGACTAAATCCATACTAGATGAGGGAACACGGGAATGCAGAACTTCAGGGTAGGAAGAGGAAACGAAGATGCTGAGTACCAGCTGGGAAGGTGAGGGAGGCAGGAGATAAGAGAAAGAGATTTGAATTGGCTGCATCTTAGACTGGGTGTTGAAGGAAAAACATGCTCTAAAAATACAGGATGTAGACCAAAGACCGCGAAAGGGCTCTAAAGGGGGGAAATGGGCCTGCCGGTTTCCCCATGAAGAGCCTGCAGAAAGAGCGTAGCTTTCCCCAAGGACTCCAGGCCCCGCATGCTCTGGGGCTGCGGGAGGGAAGTGACGAGTTGGACTGCAGAGCTGGGCTCCGGAGGACTTAGCTGGTGGCGCGGGGCCCTACCTCACCCCTCCACACAGCGAATCCCGGTAGATCTTGCCACCAGGGAGCAGCTGGGCTTGCAGGGCAGCGTGGGCTCCTGGCCTGAGCTGAGAAGCACAGAGCGCTACACCCCTGTGCCGGTGCGGGCAGCAGGGTCACCTCCCCCGGACTGGTGCAGGCAGCAGGGTCACCTCCCCGGGCTGGTGCGGACAGCAGGGTCACCTCCCCGGGCTGGTGCGGACAGCAGGGTCACCTCCCCGGGCTGGTGCAGACAGCAGGGTCACCTCCCCGGGCTGGTGCGGACAGCAGGGTCACCTCCCCGGGCTGGTGCAGGCAACAGGGTCACCTCCCCGGGCTGGTGCAGGCAGCAGGGACACCTCCCCCAGGCTGGTGGGGACAGCAGGGTCACCTCCCCCGGGCAGGTGCGGGCAGCAGGGATACCTCCCCGGGCTGGTGGGAACAGCAGGGACATAGCCTGAGCACCTGTGCCATGTTTGGACTCCACTGTTTGCCAGCCCGAGACTGGCCACCAAGCAGATGCGCTGAGCGCCCTGCCTCGTGGGGTGCGTGGGACCCTGGGAAGTGACCAGCACGGTTCTTACCCCCTGTCGCCTCTCCCCAACCCCCAGGAATCGGAAGGCGTTTCCTGTCACTACTGGTCGCTGTTCGATGGTCACGCGGGCTCCGGGGCTGCCGTGGTGGCCTCCCGCCTGCTGCAGCAGCACGTTGCCGAGCAGCTGCAGGACATCGTGGAGATCCTCAAGAACTCTGCCGTCCTGCCGCCCACCTGCCTGGGCGAGGAGCCCGAGGGCACCCCGGCCCACAGCCGTGCCCTGACCCGCGCCGCCTCGCTCCGCGGAGGGGTGGGCGCCCCCGGCTCCCCCGGCACCCCCCCCACGCGTTTCTTCACCGAGAAGAAGATCCCGCACGAGAGCCTGGTCATCGGGGCCCTGGAGAGCGCCTTCAAGGAGATGGTAGGTGGGGGGGGGGCCCAGGGGTGGGGGGCCTCACCCAGGCCAGACCCGGCTCCCCCGCACTTGGGTGGCTGCGCTTGGCCTTCTCCCCTTAACAGCAGGCCTTCCGGCCTCAGCACAGGTTGGCCCAGAGTCCCCGGCCGGGGCGCTGGCAAAAGTTAAAAAGATGAAAGTGGGGGGCAGGGGGCAGCCTTGAGGTACCAGGCCGTTTACACGTAGGCAGTCGTGCTTCCCCTTCTGCGGACTCTGATGCCAGCTGGTAGGCTGCCACTGCATCGAAAGGTGAGCGTCCTTGCCATCTGCACATGTGTACACATTCCAGGTGTTTGGGGGGAACAGAGCTTTGACCACAGGGCCCAGAAGTACCTTTCCTGCACAAATCTGCTCTGAGAACAGCTCTTACCACGATTGGCCATGTGGTTCTTAATGCTTGTTGCGGGGTGGGGGTGGGTACCTGCCGGAGGAGAATCGAGGGGCCAGTACCCAAAATCACTTGCTTTACTGGGGAACAGGGATTTGTGTGTACATCGAGATTTGGACGTGTCTGGTCAAAGAACTGAGCCTCGCCCCCTCTCAGCCCCCGCCCCAAGAACACGCATGCTATCAACAGCGCGCAGCTGCTCTCACCGGGTACCCTGTCGCGCGGCCTGGCGAGGGCCACCCCCGTACTACCCACTTCCCTCTCCGAGCTCCCTCTCTGCTGAGGCAATTATTTTGGGTTGAGAGATCTTTTCCTTCCTGAGCACCAGCCTGCGCCCAAGTCATCGAGCAGGAGATATTTAAAGGTGTCACAAGGATGTGAGTAAAGTGAGCGTGCTGTATTGTTCTTAAAACCTGAGGATGCAGAAGTGGTGACGAGCTGTTGTTAAAGGATCGAGTGGCTCGGAGCGGCCAAGAGCACCTCGGAGCATCTCCCCAGAGCGCAGTGTACATGGTGCCCGCTCCGGGATTAGGTTGTGTGCCCAGGGGACGGGAAGAGTGAATACTGTGGCTCGGCGCCCCACATCGTCTGATTAGCTTACGAGGCCAAATAGGTCATGTATTCGCACCTCGTATTTGCACCGTGCCCTCACCTTCACCCATCCCTTCTTGGGTCACCATGTGTCTCTCCTTGTCACGTAGGTATTTACCCTTTGACGAGCCGGTGGTTTACAATGCACCTGTCTCAGGAGTGTCTGGTAGCCTTCAGTCCCAGGAAGAGCACCAGGAGGCTAGAGAAGAGCATTTAGGAAAAAAAGGAATCAAGGCAGTAAAGTTGACTCCTACTCAGGCTTCGTATAAAATCTCATTCTCCAGCTGTCCTAGAAGCTCTGAGGGGAGTAAGTGTTTCTCCACGCCGACGTTCAGAATGCTAAATATTTAATTGAGGTAAAAACGTGGCAGCAGGCTATTCTCCTAATGGGAGAAAAAAAATCAGCTTCCACAGCAGGAGTGAGAAACAAAGGAAATTTTGGGTTTTTCATTTCCTTCTGTGATTGCTTCTGCCCTGGGACATCTTTTACTTGGCCCTGCTGTATTCTCCGTTCTGTCCACTAGAGGCCAATGTCACCCTGAGGCAGGCAGGCCTCCACCGTGGTCGCCGGCTGTCCCCGCCCCTTAATGGCTGGGGCTCCCAACAACCACTATACTTGAAATGGAAGCTCATTCAGAAAAATACTTAGTAAGGGGCCTCATTCCTGTCTTTCAAATTTTCCCAGCTTTTAACAAGTCAGTTCATTACCTGGCATTTTTACTTTGGAAACTTAGCCAGCAAAAAGATCATTTCACTTTCCCGTGTTTTTCGTTCAGTCGATGAATATTTGATCAGAACTAGCTCTACGCCAGGTCTAATTGGGCAAAGAACATTGAGCAAACTAGGCAAAGACGAGTATTAAATGAGTAAAATACAAGCAGAAAGGGCCTTGAGTGGAGAAATGCAGGATGAGGTAGGAGCCCGATAAAGACACGAAGCCAGGGTTCCCTTGGGGAAGTGATGCTGGAGGAGATTATTTAGGAAGAAAGGAATCAAGGTAGTAAAATTGACTCCTACTCAGGCTTCGTATAAAATCTCATTCCCTAGCTGTCAGAGAAGCTCTGATGGGAATAAGTGTTTCTAGACATCAGTGTTCAGAATGCTAAATTTTTAATTCAGGTAAAAATGAGGCAATAAAAATAAAAAATTGTGGTAAAAATGAAGCAGACAAAACACAGGAGGCCATTTCCACGGACAGCTATATCAGAGAACCCAGATGGGCCTGCGGCAACAAGCTGATGTCGAGGGTAGGAATGATGGATGTAAGTTGAATTGGAGAGGTGTTCTGGAACCGGCCTGTGGACGACCTGGTGTGACATATTATGAAATTTTGGCTTTAAGCCATATCTAGTCTCCAGTTCATCCCAGCCTGCAGCTTCCTCTTCACACTTCAGTTTTTCCCAGATTGTCTGGCTAGCCACCAGCACTCCAGAGGCCTACGTGGACTTTACACCGTGGGCCTGGCCTTATTAAATGAGAAGTTTCATCGTTCTTTGGTCCACGTGGTGCATGGTAGGGTGGCCCTGCCTTCTGCTCTGCTAGAGACTGAGCCAGTTGATGCCTGTTGACCCAGAATAATTATTAATACGCTGTCCCCTTTTATTCTCGTAAATGGCCCTATTTGGATAATGTCTTATGCTTACCCTAGTTACAGAGAGATGCTCTTTTTTTCTTTGCTTCATCAGAGACTTCGGGAGAAATCTACTCAGTGTCATAGAAATGTGCCTGCCTTAGACATTGAGTTAACGGAGGGTGGGCTTTAGAACCCACAGCACAGAAATCATACAGTGCACCTTCAACTTAATGGTCTGGAAGGCCATTGCCAACTCGTATAAGATACTTTTTCTCTGGACACCTGGTGGCTCAGTCAGTTAAGCATCTGCCTTCGGCTCGGGTCATAATCCCAGGGTCCTAGGATCGGGTCTCCACATCAGCCCCACATCGGGCTCCCTGCTCAGCGGGGAGCCTGCTTCTCCCTGTCCTCCCCACTTGTGTTTTTTCTCACTATCTCTGTCTCTGTCAAATAAATAAATATATAAAATCTTAAAAAAAAACTTTTTATTTCCCCTTGCATTATTATATTTTTGAGAGTCAGTGCTTGGAAGCAAACTTTGGGGGTTTTTTTGAAATGCCCACCCTACAGCTGATTTCCTTGTTGGCCCGGTCTTGCCGGTTTCTCCTCTGGCCTTTCAGAGTGGGGCACGTTTGGAATTTCCTGAGTATTCCTGAAGTTTTTCCTCACAGGAGCCAGCCACTTTCTGGCTTTCCTGTTTCTAGGTGTTCTTTAGGTATTGCAGGTTTGGGGCTTATTCTGATCCCCTCTAGTAGAAAAATTCGGTGGTAAATGAGATTCCATTATTTCGGCTTTGCGGCTTTCTTACTTTCTCTCACACTTTTCGTGCCTAAAAATTCCCCAAGCCCAGCACCTAAAACTGAAATTTGCCTCACTGATGACGTCTTGGCAGCTACCCTCCCTGAGATGCAGAAGTAGCTTACAGTATCCTTAAAGGCGAAGCTTGCCTTTCCCTTGGGCTTTTGCTTTACGTACAGCAGCTTAGCATCCTCAGAATCACAGGTCTTGGGTCTCTCTCTCTCTCCCCCCCAGTGTCCTCCATCACTAGTATTTATTGAGCCTCTGTTTTATGGCTAGCATTCTCCTAGGCACCATGGGGTCTAGAAATAAAGGGTTGGATTTTATGTCGGGGCGGGGAGACATTTGGAGTCACACGTTGTATGCATATTGAGATAGAGTATCTCCTTTATTTTGATATTCTAAGTCACAATAAGTGGGGTAGAGAGAGATGCAGGTAGCTATCTGAAAGGGAGCATTGGTTAAAACGACGGAGAAACCCCACAGCAGAATAAACAGTACTTATTTCCAGGAAAAAAGTAGGTACTGGTAGCAAAACACAAACTACCAGAAGCGGAGAAAAGGCTTTGAACCAGTGAGATGAGAGCAGTTTCATCAAACACTGCGAGGTTCTTTGAGGTCACTGCTTTTCGTTTCCTCTTTGATCCTCCAGTGCCTGCCACAGTGTGTGGCTTGTGGTGAAGGTGACCCCTGACCCCCGGCCTCTAATCCTGCCTGTGCTTTCTGTTGGGCCCCCTTTATCGTATCTCGTCTTGGATCTGCCTTCCCACCGAGCACCTGCATAGTCCCGTGTCCACCATGGAAAGGGAGCCACGGTTTCCTAAAGGACCAGGATCTCAGGAACTCCTGAACTGGCATCAGTTCTGCTTCCCCACGCGCTTTGTCACAGTGGCCACCTAGTTCCGCGGCTGGGTTTGTGTCCCCTGCGGTGTTAGGCTGTTGCTGGGCCCGGGATGATAGATGCGAAAGCGATAAATGTCCTCTCGGTCCTGGTGTCACGCTGCTCCTTGCCTCCCCACCCTCCCACGGCAGGGTCTCCTCACCAGCATCTCCCGCTCTTGAGGGGGCTCGTGTCCACGGATGGACACAGGAGACCTCCTGGCTGCAGGAGACCGTTGCCTCCCTCGGAATCCCGCCCAGTCTGCCCTGATTCGCCTCGTCGCCTACCACCTATAGGATCTGAGTTCTGGACAAAGGCGGGAGAAATTTCAAACTTGTCTTTCCTTTTCGGCGTGGGTATAGGGTCATCACCACAGTGAAGAATATCTTAGAGGTCTGGTTGTTACGAAGGAAGAAGACAGCAGTGTTTTCACTCGTACAACTACCATACATCTTCTTGTTACTGAGCTAATGACTGGAAATAGCACTCAGCGTGGATTTATTGGTTAAAAAAATGTATGGTGACACTACGGTGAAAAAGAGGATAAATGCAAAGCTTATTTGTAGTGCATGAGTCCCAGTGTTTTAAAAAATCAGCATATTCATGGGACACTATGGACCTGCATGTCGGTCTGTGTTTAATGAAGCTAGTTTTGTTTTGTCTTTGTTTTCGGTGGAAGGGGGGGGTTCCCCCCAAGAAGGAAGGAGCATGTGATTTTGCCAACAGCCGGCAGGTGGCAACACGAGGCAGGCCTGGTTTTCCTCCTTCCCCCGTTGCCTGGCTGACGGATTGGCTTGTTCTCAGAATAAACCAAAATCCGACCCATGTACTGAAACCATGCAGAATCTTATTATCTGTGACTGACACTATTAGCAGAGTGCTCAGAGCCGTGTTTTAACCCATCTACGGCGAGCTGCCGAGCCCCGTGGACACTCCCCAGTGCTCACTCCCTTTTGTTGTCTCCTGCTGCTGCCTTTCTGCGACCTGACATTGGTAGGAAACAAAGAATGATTCTGGAGTTGCGTCATCTCTAGGGCTTTCCAACCAAATCACAACCCTCCTGAGCAGTATGTTTTCTTTCTTGCAGGCCTTTCCTGCTGAATTAGTCTCCTTTCACCTCTCTCTCTTCTTTCCCTTCATTGCCTTCCTTGAAACAAAAAGGAGCAAAATAAAAATCCCAAGTCTTTAAAAATTGGATCCATTCTTAGGATTTAGAGATAAAAATCTGGCTTCAATGTAGTATTTAGACACACAGTACAGGATAAATCAGTGCTGCTAAATAGAAGATGGCCTTGAGAGGCCTCAGAGGACTCTTGACTGAGCAGATAAAACAATTACCTTCTTAATATTATGAGGTGTTGGTCCTTTTAGATCATACTTGAAAAGGAATGATAGTAAATGCATGTGTTTTGCTGTACGTTACTCTAGACTTATGTCTTGGGGTTTGTTGACAGATAAAATGGGCAAATTTTCCAAATTAGTCCTTGGTTAGTACAAAGCAGGGAGCAGTTTTTCCTGTTATTTCATTTATTTTTTGGAAATATACCCAAACTTGAGGGTTTATAAAATAATAATAACTATACATTTATATATATGTGTGTATGTGTATGTGTGTGTGTGTGTGTATGTAAAGTGTGAGAAGCTTAAGCTAATTGGAAGAGTTGAGGGTTTGAAGGAAACAAGTAGTTAATTCAGCAGTAAATATCTTTATTGACTTCATTTATCGTGTTTGATCTGATAGTAAAAGAACCATGCAGATGGTCCTTTAATGTTCCTTTCAGTACTAAGATTTTGTGAAACATCTTTTAAAGAGGAGTAGGTGGTGTAGGAAAAAATAAATGTGCTATTTTGGCTTCTAAGGAGGGGAAGCAATTATTTTTAGACTATGTTCTAGTTACACCCAGTTTTAGAAGAAATGGAAGAGTGTATTTTAATGTCAGTGAATCCTTCAGGGGGATGAAGTCTATGGAAACACATCTTTCAAATCCTAGTCACTGTGATCCCAGAGAGCACATGTGTAATTAAAGTGCATGTGCACACATATGGATCTGCACACATGTGCACGCACACACGCATATTGCCACACAAATGGTGGGTGGTGAAAGCATGAGCATATTAGCAGAGTTTCCCCGATAAAAAGTAGCTAGACGTTAGTCCACTGTTTAAGTGACAGTATTGCCAAATTTAGCACTCCTTCTGCTGAGGAAAGTACAGGGGGGATGTAGTTGAAATACAGGAAAAGATGAAAGAAATGATGAAATCAGTTAGAAAAAAATATTGAATCGCACTATTAATGTAATAGCAAGGGATTAATTGGGCGAGCTAACTGGAGCATCTCCCCCCAGACGAAAGGCAAATAGGAACTCTGCTGTAGCAGAAAATCATAGTGTCGTACGTACATTCTTACCTCGATTCTTCTTAAGAATTAAATAATCTTATAATCAGATTTCCTTGTGACGTTAGCCATGATACATAGTGCACCTGTGATGCAGAATAAGCTTGCCCATCTGAGTTCCACCGGAAAGTCCTGCCACGGATGGTGCTTTCACGTGGACTCTGTGTATCACGGCATTTTCTTTTGGATCTCACCGTGATTTAAGTCTTTGAAGCATTGTTCACATGCCAGTCCATGTATAGCATGCAAGCCGTTGGATGCTCAAGGGATTTTTTTTTTAAATAAAAATTGTCTTCCATTCAGACATTAGGTATTCAAACAAATGTTGATTGTGGCTATGAAAGGATACTTGGTGTTATCCCCAGCAATTCCTTCCAGTATATTCAGAAGAGTAGTGTAGTAGTAGCATGGAGCGTGGACTTGATGTACCGGTTTCTATATTAATTTGATGAAATATGTGTCTATCATGATATCAGCTTTATATTATTTAGATGCAAAAGGAAGGGGATATATCCATCCACAAACTGCTTTGTGAATTGGGTTGTTGATCCTGTTTTTTGCGCATTGTTTGGAGGTCGAACAGACCAAACTTCTGACAGCTTGACGTTTTCTTTCCACTTCCTCATGACAGTCTTTTTGGGTGATCTCCATGGCTCTCCTTCCGCCCCTCGAGGCCCCTGCCATCCCTGCACAGGTTCTGCTAAACAACCATTCATTGTTCTCAGTTGACTGCACCTGAAGTGAGACGTGGGTTCCTACTTAATCATCATCTCCATGAGCATTTATTTGCATTGCAATCTTTTCCTTTGTGAATTACGAACAGGGGTCAGGGGTGAGGACATAATTTGGAAACTTGGGCCTTCTCTTCATCTGCCCAGTTAGCAGGCATTTCTTCAGCTTTTTCTTTTTTTCTTTCTTTTTTTTTTTTTTTTTAAACCTAGCCTGGTATTGGTGTTAAGGGTCGAGCAGGAGAGGTGTCTATTCTCAGTCATGAAGCTTCTGGGGCCTGGGAAGGATCTGGATGGGCCGCTAAGCCCCTCACACATAGCATCCAATTTAATCCTGACAATAGTCCTTTATGAAACTAACTGATACAGGGTTTGAGTCCAGTTTTTAAGTCCAGCGTAGTCTTCGAAGGCGGTCCTCACGCTTGGCTCTGCAGGCCTTCGGTGTTCTTGCCCGCTCGCTCCCTTAATGCGGTTTTTCTTCACTTCCAAACTCCCGCACCCCACATACACAGGTTCTTACCCCCGCCCCTCGCCCTTACCCAGTTGATCCCCCTGTCAGTTAGTTTCTCCCAGATCTTGTACTTTTTATCTACTGACTTTTTAAAAGCACGCTGATCTTCATCTGTCTCCTTGGCTTAGGCTCTTCTCCTGTTGCCAGTTTCTCATCGGTGATTCATCTGACCTTGTATGACCACCTCCGGAGCCAAGCATTTGCTGATAAACGCTGGGCTACTTGGATTATCTCCTCCCTTCTCCAGGAGGAGGCTGGTTGAAGCAGCAGAGTGCTAACTCCGTGGGTTTCTAAGAACCACGAAGTGCCCTGGCCCTCGGGAGCATCCTGAGAATCAGCCAGGGCACCACTTCCTCACCAGCTTCCTTCTCCCTCCCTCCACCCTACCTGGCCTTTACTATGGAACACTTGGCATTATTTCAGCCAACATTCAGTGTCTTTTCCTAGCTCAGCTCACATTTTTCTGAGGTCACGGAACCTGTGTGTCTGTCAGTGACACAGAATTTTGCAAAGACCTCTGTCTTGGATGATACATATCTGTCAGTGGAGGTCTTGGTCTGGTTTTAGTTTTCTTGGGAAGGCCTCATTAGGCGGCAGGTAATAATAAGCTTTGGAGGAGGAGAATGAGCTTGAAATCCAAACTCCGGGGATCCCTGGGTGGCTCAGTGGTTTGACGCCTGCCTTTGGTCCAGGACGCAATCCTGGAGTCCCGGGATCAAGTCCTGCATCGGGCTCCCTGCATGGAGCCTGCTTCTCCCTCTGCCTGTGTCTCTGCCTCAATCTCTCTCTCTCTCTCTCTCTCTCTCTCTCTCTCTCTCATGAATAAATAAATAAATCTTAAAAAAAAAAAAGAAAGAAAGAAATCCAAACTCCAACCAGCTAAATAGGGGCAAGTTACCGCCCCCTCTTCTGCGTCCGAACGTTGAGGTTAATAACAGGATCGTAGGATCAGCACAGATCTCTATGTACAGTGCTTCACACCCTGCCTGACATAGAAGACGTGCTCAGTGAATATTGGCTGCTGCTGTGATTGTGTCACTGTTGTGAATCAGTGGCTGTCGGAAGATGAAGTCAGATCAGAGCTTGGGAGCTTCTATCTTTGATTAATAAGACCCGGAGTTGACTCCCACCTGCTTTGAATAGAGGACACTGTCCTCCAAGTCACTCCTCTTAGCTCACTGTAAAAGTAACTGTTTATTAGAGACTTTAGGGTTAAAAACATTGCTCGGGTTCAAGTAGTTATCATTTTCAGCCTATTGTAGTTCTCCTGTGGCAGCTCAAGCAGTCCACACAAAGACTAAATTTCCCACGAGTTATAATATTTATTGAACACAGTTGGCTTCCTTTTCCTCGCTTTTGTTCTGATTAGATCTGTTTGCCATCCCTTGTTCCCTATCTCTGGTCTGCAGATGGTCTAATAGACGACAGTTTTCTGTCGGTATCCTCAGTGAGAAATGATCTTCAGGTGGTAGGAGAGCACTAAAGATTTCCTTGTCCCATCTTTGAAGCGCATTCAGACTCTGAGAGCTGTGTCAAGGGAGTGAGGCTAAGAAAGTCTTTGATACGAGTTCCTGTACAATCCAGCACTGACTTTGTTTTCTTCTCTAGGACCTACAAATAGAACGAGAGAGGAGTTCATATAATATATCTGGTGGCTGCACGGCGCTCATCGTGGTTTGCCTTTTGGGGAAGCTGTATGTGGCGAATGCTGGGGACAGCAGGTAAGCAGATTGTCTTCTGGCTCTTGCTGGTTTCATACGCCTTCAATAATTTTTTTTCTTTTTTCAAAGAATTAAATGATTGGCAATAAAATAATTCTGCTTGGGATGGGATATGGGAAAATATGATCCTTCTACATCTGTATAAAATGCATTTAAGATGAATTATCAGGCTGGTATGAAAAGGTAAAGGCTGTCTTCTACTTGTCCCTGGTAGCAGTTCACATATAGACCTGTGATTAATACCTGTGGCTGATCTAAACAGGTAGTATCCAAATGTTTTTTGACCTCAGAAAGCTTAGCAGAGGCACACAATATGAGCATGAGAGGAGGGAGGAGAGGGATTTGAATGAAGTGGGTGTTTGGAAGGGACCCAGGAGGACTCCACAGCTGGTTCCACTTCTGCTCAGTGACTTTGCTCTGTCCCCTCTCAGAAGTCCAGGAGTTTCTCCTTTTATGCACAAGCCCTCTGAGGCTATATTCTCCTCTTTTCTGGGCTCGGCTACAAGGAATTTTGGCCAAGAGATTATGGTTAACCCCTACTCTATGCAGCATTACTGAGAATAAGATAAACTTGGGTTTTATTTTAAATAACTGCTACGTCCTCGTTTTAAATTCACGTGCAGGGAACTTAAAAATTACAGACTTTGTGGAAAGTGTTCCGATATGTATCACGTACTTCTCTGCCCCTTCAGTAATAACATATGTTAGCTTCTTGCTAAAGACTGACTCTTTGTGTTGAAAGCAATCAGAGTACTGGACTCTGTGCAAGATGTCCTCGGAGGACGAGTGATTTCCCTGTGCAGTCTTTGGTCTCAGGATGCCCCCGTTCCTCAGTCACATGCCTCTTCCAGCATCCCTGCTTGCCCAGGCCCGACCCCACTGCCCCCCACTTCCCTGTCAACATCAGGTCCTGGTTGAAGACGGACTCCCTCCAGCAGCAGAGGAATTTACCTTACTTTTACTTCCATTTACAAAGCTGGAGAGCTTCAGGACTCTTCATTCCCTCTAGTTTCATCATCCTCTCCTAGGTGGAGAGATGATCCTCTCCATCATCCTTTCCACTGAAGATTCCAGAGAGTAAGGGAGACTGGACTTCCAAGGCAGCAGTATTTCGGGGTTTGACAATTGATGGTTTCTGAAGGTCTGTTTATTTTTAATATGCATGTGGGTTTCCATTAAACTCTATAAGATAATCTCCATTTCATCATAGCATTGTGCTGGGTAAATGGAAATATCTATAGGATACCATATGTATCTCATGGCTTCCATTCCTTAGTGTCCTGTCAGATTCCTGGCAGGAGACGGACTCCTGCTCAGGTGGGTCAACTGGATGAAGGAGTGAAAGGGAGCCCGCTAGGAGCACTGTGGCTCAGAAAGACATTTACTGCCTAAGGCCTGCAGGATGCAGGGAGGAATTGCTGCAGCAGAGCCCAGGAGATGGGGTCACTGATGAGAGCCCTCACCAGAAATGGCAGGAGAAGATGGGAGAGGTACTTTGACTTCTTTCTCTTCCCCCCGCCAACCCCCGTCTTGCCAGGGCTTCCCATTGGACGAGCCCAGCTGGGAGCCAGGTGGCAAGTAGCCCAGGGAGTAGTGGTCCCAGACGTCAGCCAGCCAGGGCACTGACACAGACCGAGACGGCATCTCTGGGGTCAGGTCCAGTGGAGGATGCTCAGCACATCCGCTGCTTCTCCTTTCCTTCTCCACCCCAGGGGTTGAGCGTCTCAAAAATGGAAATTCTCAATCTTTGGGCCTTTTAAGATGCGCGCTGAGGAGCTGGCCTCGGCTTGTTGTTCTGTTCTGGATGCTGTTTGTTTGGAAATGGATGAGCAGATAAAGAAGTGATGGCCTTCCGCTCTGGGGGAGACTGAGTCAGTGATTGAGCTGTTGCACTCGTGTTCACCTTTGTCTTTATGTCTAGCTCCACACCCTTTGAAATGAGTTTGCTTTGCCAGCCCTTCCAGTGATGAGGGAGATAACAGAATGCCCTCGTCCCTGGGGACGGGCCCACCCCTCATCCCAGGGAAGCACCTCTCACCAGATGATCTCAGACTCAGAAGGTGGCCCAGCTTCTGGGCCCAGAGTCTCTTCATGTTGGGTTATTCTTTTCATGGCTGCAACTCCTCTCCCAGACCTTCTCCTCATTTTGAACATAGTTTTCTTCCAAGCTCTTTAACAGAGCCACTTACCCAGCCAGCGCCTCCGTCCTACTTCCCAGAAGCTCCAGTGTCCTGTCCAGGACCTGCCAGTCCTCTTCTGGGCTCTTACTTTCCTGTGCCCCACCACCCCCAACCCCTTCTGTTTCTAGACCAGATCTTGACCTCCTCATCTATAAAAATGGTGGTGGTGAAGTAAATAATTCCTGAAGTTTCTAGCATCCTATAGGTTATCCCATGAGGAGTGACACTTTTGGAACGTAAAGTGATGCTATACGTGTTGATTTTTTTTTTTTTGGTAATTTTTATCCTCCTTCGAGTTTTTGAAATATTACTGTAACACAGGTTCCTGTGTTTCTAAATGTTCATAAAAGTATGGTGTTTTACAAGGTTCTTCCCAATAACTTGAAATGCCTAATAAGTACTTTTATCCTTCTTGAACCTGTAAAGTGTGCACACACACAAATTATTCTATGATAAAATGGTATCTTTAAAAACCTAATAAGCTTAACTACATGTGTAGTGTTCCAGCTCTCGTGTCCAGATCTGAATTTGGGGTTTTATGGCTGATTGGTTGGGTTTGCTGTTCGTGTATGGGTCATGCGTCATATAGAAACCTAAGAGCACTAGGAGTTATTTTTTGTATACATGATCTGAAGGATGTCTTATAGGACACTTACTACGGTGCTGTTTTTGGCTCTTGTATGAACAACAGATTTTCAATATCCTCTTAAGTAGGCTCACTGCCTCCTTTATGTGCTAATACCATTTTATAGATTATTTGAATTTACAAAAATACTCAGTTACTCCCAAGAAATAGCAACAAAGTGAACTCTGATCAGACTTACATAAATGTAAGTCCATTATCACTTGTGGGCAAGTAGTCACCAATCTGAGGGTTGAATTTAACCAGATGATTAGAACTGATAGAGGTTTCTAGCAACAAGTCTCTGATTAATTAGATGCTGGGTTGGTTTATTATTATTATTATTATTATTATTGCCAGATACGGCTGCTGTATGTTTACTTTAAATCTTGACGATTTGGGGAGTGAAAGCAAATCTTTGTCTTGGGTCCACTGCCCCAGAATTACACTCAAGAGAGGCTTTGCAGTGGTTTGATTCAGAAGCTGCTGGCGATCGGGAACTAGTTGCTGGGCTGTACAGTGAGCTATGAACGATCTGATTCACCATCAGGCATGTGCGTGTTGGAGGTTGTATTCAGGAAGAGCTGCCTCAGGTTGTCTGTGGCTCAGTGGTTTTTGAGACAGTGGCTACCCTTGGTGTAGGATGGTCCACATTGATGCCAGGTTACTGGTGCACAGTCCGGGACTGAGTTACCCTTCTCTCTTCATCAGAGGTAACGACCCAAGAAGGAACATGCAATAACCACTTGACGCATGGCAGTTGCTTTATTTTTCCTAGGCAAAGGCAGCCAACTGAACACCTAGGGGATCATAAGGGACCAGGAAAGAAGCAGATGGATGGGCGGGTTTTCATTTCAAGCAAAAAAGAACTGGTAGTATGCAAATGTCATGCAAAGCAATATGCAAACTATCACCCATTGTGTTTGAGTCATTGGCTCCTTAGGGCTCTGAGCGATTCTTCAGCTGAGGAAGATGCTTTGACTTCATTTAGAAGATGATTTCATTTTATTTCTAGAGAGCTAAGACACTGAGGGAAGCAAAGCCGTTACCACTCATTTCAAACAGTGTCTCAAAGTTTGGCAACTGAGGCTACATGAACTCATTCAGATTAAAGAAAACCAATTAAGATTTGTTAACCTGATGATTCCACTCTTGCCAAATTTATAGTAAGAGAAGCAGTAAGACATCTAATAAACGCTCGGCACACATTTAATACTGTAACCTCACAGGGAGTCCTAATTTCTCTTAGCAGTGGGGTGAGAAGTAGGCATTGTGAGTAGCAGGTAAGTACACTGAAGCACGGCGAGGCAAAGAGATTTGCCCAAGGTCCCACATCCCCCAAGGAGCAGGGCTGCCTGCCATCCAGCCCAAGACTCGAGTCAGAGCACCGTTTTCTTAATGAATGCACTGTACCCTGGGATTTCCCATCCCTGCTAATACTCACAAGGGTTTTTGTTGTTGTTGTTGTTATTTTTCACATTTTCACATCTCTAAAATCAAGGGTTTCTAATTAACATTTTTTTCTTTGCTATTTGGATATAAAATGATGACATACTTTATGATCAGTGGCATCTTTGATTTCACCTAAAATGGTTTATGGGGCATAGCTGAGGGGATGGCTGCACTTAAAGCTATTTTAAATGCATCGCAGTAGTCAGGCAGATAAGCTTTGGGTGGTCCCATTCATTCATTCATTCATTCATTCATGATACAAGGAGTATTTTCTCAAAATGAGGGCTGCTACCTGCTTCCAAAGGTCCCAGAGACCACTGTAAGTTTTGTATTTTCATTTTGATGATAGTCTATTGAAAATAAGCATTTTCTGGATTGCCCGGCTGACCATCTTATAAAAGATGACTGCCATGAATTCAGACCCCCGTTTTGTCATGTTGATGGTCCTCCTAGGAGATCAGGAAGGTCAGATGTGTTCATGATGTAGCTCTCTCTGCGGGAGTGAACAGGCATTCCACTAATTGTCCAGCCAGGATGTTTTTCTTTCATTTCTCTTTCCCTTATTTTCAAATATCCAGAATTACCACGCCCCCCCGCCCCCACCCCCACCCCCCACCATGTAACTTAAAGCTTTCCATACCCATTCAGAAGTGAATTCTTCTGGCAAGTCTGAGTTTTCTTGAGGATAGGAAGTATCAGTATTAGACAAGCCTGTTATTTCTAAATTCAAAACCAATTACAGGGCA